GTCGGGGGGATTTTTTTTCCCGAAAGCTGCCTAAAGCCCTGCGGGATGCTCAGAGAGGAATCCCCCCTCCCGCCGCGGTCCCTTCCCAGGGAACCCGGAGCAGCTCCGCTTTCCACAGACCTTTCTGGGATGCGTTTGTTTGTTTTTTTTTCTACCGATGCTTTTATTGAAAATGCTGTGGGGCTCTTTTTTTTTGTTTTTTTGGCTTTTTTTTTCCCCCTTTTTCCAGTCAACAGCCGTGCTTGAGAAAGAGATTTCCGTTCGCCTCTGTGTGTCTATTAAAAACTGATTGGTAAAAATGCTGCGGAAACATTTGCGAAAAATGGAAAATATTGAAAATATTTTGTGGAGAAAAAAAAAAAATCACTCTTCCAAATAAAGATCTTTTCTTTTTCCATCAGAAAAGCTTGTAGTGTGCAAAACGTCGCCCGCTTCGATTTCTGCTCCCACAGGGCTGGGACGTACCCCCCTCCCTGCTCCGGGAGGATGGGTTTCCAGAAAGCTACAAATCACTAGACAGAGATACCAGCACCGCTAAGTCAATGGCCATTTCTCTTGTGAAAAACACCCACGTCCCCGGCAGACCCGCTGCAGGCTGGGAGGCCGGGGACAGCCATCCACCGGGAAAGAAGTGGCACGGCGAGCCAGAAGACACGAGTACGATCCTTTCCCTGCAGGCCCGCAGCCCGCCAGCCTCGGGAAGATGGAAGAAAGCCCAAAGGTATTTTGGTCACTAGCGTCATGAGTTGCCGTTCGTTCTCAGTCCATCACAGAGGTGGTCTGCAAGGCTCCGGATAGCAAACTGCGTGATTTCGGAGGGACAGCAAGCAGATGCGTCGGGCCCGGGCGGGCGTTAGAGGTTGTCGTACATGCGCAACGTCTTCTCCAGCTGCTGGCTCACTCGCTGGTAGAAGATGATCTGCTGCTTTAGGTAGGACTGCATCATCCTTTTGAAGTCGGCGACGCGCCGCTCGTGGAAGTGGTTCATCTCGGCCTGCAGGGCGAAGCCGACCACGCGGCAGCGCTTCCGGATGCCGTCCGCCTCGTCCTGGTCCATCCGCCCCTCGTCGCTCATCCGCTGGCTCTCCTTCACCTTCGCGAAGGCGCCTGGGGAGGCAGGGAGAAAGGTGAGAGGCGGTAGGCGGGGGCCGCAG